CCTTATACTTAAGCTACCATAGATTGATGGCAATTGAACAAGCAAAGGATCCACTCTGTGGTAACACACACCTTTAATCCCAGTACTCGGGAGGCAGAGACAGGCAGATCTTTGTGAGTTCAAACCGAGACTGGTCTACAAAGCAAGTTCCAAGATAGGAGATAAGCTCCAAAGCTACAGAGAAACCCTGTTTCGAACAATCAAAGAGAACAGCAAGGAAATGATGAAGGGTCCATACGTCTGGCTTCAATCATAATCATAAGATGAGAATTCAAGAGCATATTTTTTTTTACGATTTTGTTGCTAGACATTATTTAAAGCCCCCCAAATTGCAGAAAGATGTAGGAAAAAAGTACAAGAAGAAATGAGACGAGGGGATGCTATTTCACTAAATACCTCCTCTTGTCTATTCCGTTGACAGTCCAGTTGCCCTTTAGAAATCTGAGCTGAAGCCCAGCATCTGGGATTTGATTCAGTGTGGCTGGTTTCCAGGATTACAGATGGCGGCCAGAGATCCCGATCCCGACGTGAAGTCTGCTTCTGGAAATGGCTCTCTTCACTTTTGGTCCTTGGGCTCTCCTTTTAAAGGGAGGTTGTTTGTTTCGCTCAAAAGGCGAGTCATGAGTGTTGACCCACAGGGCATGGGGCTGTGCTTCCTTATCTATCTGTCTATCTATCTTTTTTTTTTAACCTTGTAGCTTCATGGCACTTTCTCCCAGACTGATAACTGTATGCTTCACCCAGAGCCCTTGCTACGCGCCTGGAGGCAGGGCAGTCCCTTCATCAGAAAAAAATTATAAAGAATGGCTGCGTTCTCTGCAGTCTTTTGTGGAGACACACTTGGTCAGAAGTGTACTCTTCTGATTTGTGGTGTATGAGAGAGGTGCTTCTTCTCTCGTTCACCCCCATTTTCCCGCACTGTGTGGTTTCTGTGATAGTATTTATGGTAGTCGCTTTTCATTTGAAAGTGGCCTCAAAGGTCACCTGGTTTCTGGTTGCTGAAGAGAATGGAAGGCGTCATCTCCTTTGTTGTGAGGCAATCACTTAGCCTGGTATTCTGGATGGAAGGGACAAGCTCTCAATTCCAGCTTTTGCATGCTGGGATCAAGGTGGTAGACTTTGATGGGACAGAGCCAGCTTGCTCACTTTGTAAATGACTAATTGGGTACTTGTTTAGCCTAGGCAGGGGCAGCCCCCTGACCTCAGCACCTTCTGCAGCTTCCCTTTTTCTTTTTGAAACAGGAACTCATGTAGCCCAGGCTGGCCTTGAATTCCTTGAATGCCAAGGATAACCTTGAATTACTTTTCTCTTTTCTGCACCACCCAAGTGATATGATAACAGGCATGCATTTGGAGCTTTGGCTTAACAAAGAATTCTTGTATGGCTAGTTAAGGAAGGATTCTACGCCTGAGTGCCAGCTATCCCCATTCCCTGGTATTTCTGACTTTTGAGCAGAATACTGTGGAGGCTACACTACTGTGAGAGATCATGCAGGCAAAGATGACATCCTTAGCAAGCCAGTCCTACAAGGGCTCCTTGTCCTGCTTCTAGCACGCAGATGACTTCCAAGGCTCCTGTCTACAGACACACTACAGTCCTTGCTGTAAGTGCCTCAGGGTCTGTTTCTGCTGCTTGCTACCAGCTCATTCTGACGCAGCCTTTTTTTGTGTGTGGCTCTGGGATTCCAGGACAGGTCAATATTGCCATTAACAAGGTGCTGAAATTTCCCTTTCGATTAAGACATTGGATGCTACTTGTATGAAATATTAGCCGAGAGAGGGAACACTTGAAGCTCTTGTATGTTCCTTGTGCTTGTGCTATAAGAATCCTGTCCCTCCACTTGTTGGAGACCAGCCACATGAGACACAGAACAAGTGAGCATTAGTAAGGGTGAATTGAGAGAAGTCTGGAAGATTGGTTGCTTGAAGGTCTCAAGCATGACTGGATTGGAAGGGTTTTGCTACACAGAGAGAAGCAAAGGTTCACAAAAGACCAGACCCAGGAAGAGGCAGAGACTGAGTAGCAGATGCCTGTCTGACAGTGGGTGTCTGCCTGGGGTAGACAGTGGGTGTCTGCCTGGTGGTAGTCATACACTAGGACAGCAGCTGCCACCAGGGGGTGCGGCGGGATTTCTGAGAGAGGATCTCAAACACTGCAGGATGCAAGGTGTCCTATGCTCAGCAGAAGAGCTGTGTGACTATGACTGATATCCATCTTTGCAGAGAAAAGACTTTTTTCTCTTCATTTTTTTTTTTTTTTTGCTACACCGCTCACATTATCCCCCTCCCTGCATACACTTTGTTTTGAGACAGGATCTCTCTGTAGCCCTGGCTGTCCTGGAATTCACTATGTAAATCAAGCTGGCCACATGTTTACAGAGGTCTACCTGCCTCTGCTGGGATTAAAGGCATGGCTACCATGCCCAGGTCCCCCTTGGCTTTTAGAGACAGTCTCATGTAAGCTCAGGCTGGCCTTGAATTTGCTATGTAGTTGAGACTATAAACTTTTGATCCTCCTGCTTCAGTCTCTTGAGTGTTTATAGGAATGTGTCACCATATTCTGCCTAAGAAAAGGAGTTTTAGATGGAGTAACAGGAGACAAAAGGGACTTAAAACACTTCTCAGCAAGACCAACAGATAGGGAGCAGGTGAGAAGTATAGATTCCTATCAGTGGGATTATTTCCCTCCGCCTCCGTCCCTCTTGGTACTACTCTGGTATTCACCATCAGTGGCCAGATAATGTTCAGGTTCCATTGGTGGGGGACCTGGGAGACATTACCAATGTAAACTCTTGGGTGCTGGATTATACACAAATCTGTGTGTAACTGGAGTCACAACCTGCCTGGTGTTGAAATGTGGATTCACTCTAGGTATTTCAGATGGTGGAGCAAAATTTCATATACATGACATTCAACTTTGACATGGGTGGGGTGGGGTTGGGGGCAGACAACTTTCAATTTTTAAAAGCAATTTCTATTAAAGTGTGACATACAAAGAAAAGTCAGTGCACCAGCCATTAGCTTCATTCAGAAGAAGAAACCACATACACATGTACATATATAGAAACACACGTATACGCATCCCACTTAATCCCCAAACACTAGAATACTTGTTTTCTGCAAGTTTTCCCTAGTGGTCCCTTCCAGTACCTTCCCACAATGGTAAACACACCCCAACTCCTCTTCCATCGACTAATTTTACCTGGCTTTGACCCTTATACAACTTATATAGCACATAGTAATACTTTCTGGCTGCAGTTGATGCTAGTTGCCTTTTTGTTTATTTTTACTTTATTACTACTATTTTTTGAGGCAGGGTCTCCTTATGTAGCCCTGGCTAGCATGGAACATGTTATGTATTTTACTCAGCTGGCCTTGTATTTGGAAATCTACCTGCCTCTGCCACTCGAGTGCTGGGATTTAAGAAGTGGGCCACAATACCCAGTTGCGTGCTTTATTTTAAAAATCCACCTGTGTTGCTATGAGTAGCATTGTATTCACTGTTCATTCTCATTTCATCATAGCATTTCATGGAATGTCTACAGCAGTTTATTAATTCTGCTCACGATGAAAATTCTGGATGTGCAAGGTGTCCACTGGGGCTATGAAGCAGAGTAACTTTGAAGCAGAGTAACAAAATATAATGTTCCCAAATTGACAGTTCTCCCGAAAATTGTGAAATGCCTTCATTCCATGTGTGTTTATTTTGAAGAAATGTTTTAAATCACCTGAGTGCTATCTTACAGTCTGGCTGAAGCATAATTTAAACAGCTGTCCTGGCAAAAGTGAGTTCCAGGAAGGACTACTGTCTTCTCTCAGGGAGAGAGAGAAAGGGAGAGAGCCCTGTATCAGGAGAAACCATGTTATTTGCAGTGCTATGGACTGATAAGGAGCCAGTGTTCCTCTCTGTCCTTTCTAGCTGTCATATTCATCTACTAGAGTCAGAGAGACAAGAGTGTGAGGGTAGGTGAGGCATCTCTATGAGTGTCCAGTGCACAAAAGCATTTTACTGTCTTTCTTTTTTGCCTGTATTGTCTTTTCAGGGATGCTGGTGTAGTAAATAGCTTTGGTGAATATACATAGTATCTTCTTTCCTGAAGACAGATTTGGTGCTCTCTCTCTCTCTCTCTCTCTCTCTCTCTCTCTCTCTCTCTCTCCTCTTCTCTTCTCTTTTGACAAGGTCTCATGTAGCCCAGGTTATCATCATATGTGCCATGTACTGAAGGATGACTGAAAATTCTGATCTGCTGGGATTACAGGCAGGCACCACCACTCCTAATTTATGAGGTACTGAGGATTGGGCCCAGGATTTTGTGCTTGCTAGACAAGCACCCCACCAAGCCACCCAAGCCCGTTTTAGCCAATTGCTATGAATACAAAATATTTCAACAGAGAAAAGAACAAAAAATATGTTTTCCAGAATCATACACATAAGTAAACACAGAATCATTAGCACATCCTTTTATCTTACTATGACTTAAAGTGGTTAACTGGATGTGATTATAAACATGTAAATATGCGAGTTTGAGCAAAGATCTATGTTTAATGTCTTTGTTTGCAGGAAGAACTTTAAAAGATAACAATTACACATTTTAAAAAATGATTTACTTTATTATTTTATGCGTATGTTTACAGGTCAGAGTGTACGCATGTGTACTGCACACATGCAAATGATCATGGAGGCCAGAAGAGGGCACTGGAGTCACTGGAACTGGAGTCACAGATGGTTATGAGTTGCCATGTGGGTGCTGGGAATTGAGCCTGGATCCTCTGGAAGAACAGCCCGTGTTCTTCATCACTAAGTTATTTTTCCAGCCTCAACAACTAACCATTTATTTTTACTATTTTTCCTGTCTCTGTTATTCTAGAAATGTTATTTAGAAGAGTCCATCAGCTCACACAGAAAGAACAGATATACTAGGTAGGGAGAACTGAGCTGGTATTTCCACACTTTGTGTCATAATGTGGAAAATTCAGAATCAAATGAGAAGGCACAGTGGTGCTACACATAAACCAAATTTTAGTACATTTGACACAAGAAAGGAATCATGATAATATTTCTGTTGGAATATTACACATTTTCAGCTTATATTTATAAATGGAAGAGACCTATGATATGATATAAGAAAACCCAAAGAAATGACACAAAAAGCCATGTATGAAACTATAAATGAGGACAGTGAAATTCAGCCTTCTATATATATATAAAGCCATCTGGACACAAGCCTGACACCAGTAAGACACCATCCACTGCAATTTCTCCAGTTTTGCCTTTGCCACATTCTGCTTCAAAAATGACCTAATAATGGAGAAAAATAGAAGGTTACTTCAAAACAATGATGTAATCAGACTACTGAACAGCTGTTAGCAAGTACTAAACTTGTGTCTCTAGTGTATGGAAATTGCCTTTCATATTGACCACATAGCAATGTGTTGACTATATAGCAATATGTTTTCCACATGCCAAGAGATCACAGTGAGAGCTCTGTTCAGAGAAGACAGGCTCATGCTAACTCTGGAGGATTCTGAAAAGTCCTGTGGCAGGTGGTGGTGGCACATGCCTTTAATCCCAGCACTCAGGAGGCAGAGGCAGGCTTATCTCTATGAGTTCAAAGCCAGCCTGGTCTACAGTGAGTTCCAGGACATCCAGAGCTGTTACACAGAGAAACCCTGTCTTGAAAACAAAAGTCCTGTTGTATAATTCTGAGCAGGGAACTTTTGGAATTTCTATTTAAAGACTTGAAATGAAAACAATGAAAAAATTCTTTGTTTATTTTTAAGTGTATATGTGTTTGTGCATATGAGAAAAGATGTTCACTATGTTCACTATGTAGCCAAGGATGACCTTACACTGCTATTCCTCCTGTGTCTATCTCTGAGTACTGGAATTACTGGCATGTCCCACCAGGCCTAGTTTGTACAATGTTCGGGATTGAACACAGGGTTTTGTGCATGCTAGGCATTCACTCTGCCAACTGGGCTGCATCCCAACCCCTCTCTTTTTTCTTCTATTGTGTGATTTTTTTTTTTTTTTTGCTTTTCTCTCTTAAGGTCCTTGTCAAGGTCCTCCAAACTCAGTAACCTCTTGGTCATTTTATCCTATTTGTTCTTTATCAAATTCCTTAACCAAGACACTTCCTTTTCCTTTATTAAACCTACTCCTACAGTATAAGATTAACTCAGCAGGTCTGAGTTGTTCCAAACCTAAACATTTGAGAGACCGTTTTCTTCTTGGCTGCTTACTGAGAGTTTGTCTCTAATCACTCAAAACTACTTGTTTAAGAATGTTTTTGTAGCCAGGCATTAGTGGTACACTAGGGAGGCAGAGGCAGGCAGATCTCTGTGAGTTCGAGTCCAGCCTGGTCTACAGAACAAGTTCCAGGACAGGTTCCAAAACAATACAGAGAAACCCTGTCTCAAAAACCAAAAAAAAAAAAAAAAAAAAAAAAAAGAGGCGTGTTTTTGTTTGTTTACCTGTAACCTTTAGCCAAGCCAGACAGTTTTATGCTGAGAATGTGGTTTATGATGGGGGCCGTGGGTTATATGACATCAATGCAGCTTCTGGAAATGTTGGAGAGTGCATAGCTAAAGTCAGCCATGCTGGCAATGATCCGGGCAGACTGAACCATAGTAACAACTTTGAGAGCTTGGAGAGACAGCTCAGTGATAAAATGCTTGCCTTGTAAGCATATGGACCTGAGTTCAATGCCCGGAACTCACATAAAAAGGCCCTATGTAGTGATGTGCACTTGTAACTCCAGTGTTCAGGAAACAGAGGCAGGTGGATCACCTGGGCTTGCTGGTCAGCCAGTTTCTCATACTTGGCAAATTCATAACCTATCTAGAAGAAACAAGGTGGGCAGGGCCTGAGGAACAACACCTGAGTTGGTAGTACTATGGCTTTCATGTTAACATACAGACACATACACACATACAGCACACACACACACACACACACACACACACACACACACACCTTTGACCTTTGGATACCAAGGCCTGGGTGAGCTTCCATGGTGTGCAATACTTTGTGAGTTTTGTCATTTGTCATATGTGGATGCTGGGAGAATTAAGATCTGCTCAGGAGTCTACAAGCTTCTAACTGGTCCTCCCTGACCTCCATACATTTGTCCCATTTTCTTTTTACTGGTTTTAATGTATATAAACCACAACTGTAAATGTAACCGTTTTCATCCATTCTATGAGACCTTCTACAGGAACACTTGCCCCCTCCCTGCCACCTGAAAGTGGGAATTCCCCCAACAGCCACCCAGCTTCAGTTCAGTTAAAATAACCTTAACAAAATCATATTCTGGCTGTCACTTACTGAGTTAAGGTCCATAGAATGAACAAGAAACGTTTTTCCTGCTTGCTTATTTGTTTTTAAGATATTAAAGAATGCATAGCCTGGTTTGCATGGAACTTAGTAAGAGGTTCCAGACACACCAATAGGTCATTTCTGAAGAACTGGAGAAGTATCCTCATTAGTCACACTGACTGGGCAAGTCTTGCCTATCTCTGTGCTCCTGAGACCTATGGACACCAGTAAATAGTTTGTTGAATCACTGAAAAAGAAAACTGAACTATGGAATTCCCTCCTCACTTACACTTTTGGTAGTACCAATCCCTTGGTCCAACTGGATTTTCCCAGTCTTCCATCTCTCATCCTCATTTTGAGTCTCTTCCCATGCCAGGACATTGTTGCTATTTTTCATGAACACTCGAAGTTTTCCTATTTTGTCTCCAGCCAGCCGGTAATCAAAGAACAAACAGAAGGTGCTTTGGGGTGACAAGTTGGGGAGGAGAAGTTCCAATCTGCCAACATCCTTCTTGTGCCCTGCCAGTGCTGGGACTGCCATATAATAACCAACAGCTTTAAGAGAAAAAAAAGGCTGTGAGAAAGGGTCTGGAAAAATGAACAACAGGGGCTGGAGAGATGGTTCAGCAGTTAAGAGCATTGACTGCTCTTCCAGAAGACCCAAGTTCAATTCCCAGCACCCCACATGGCAGCTCACAATTGTGTATAACTCCTTTTCCAAGGGGATCTGATACCCTCATGCTGACATACGCGCAGGCAAAACACCAATGTACATAGAATAAAAATAAGTTATTGAAAAAAGAAAAGAAAAATGAACAACAGTCTCCCATAGGACATGCCAAAATCCTTTACATTTGAATAGAATAATTATGCAAAAATGAGCCGTTATGCAAAAATAATTCCTGTGGATTGGAGAGTTGAAATCTTTTCTCATACAGAGAAGAGCTCTAAGGGTCAGAAAGCTAATGAATTTTCTGCATTCATAAGCAAATAGGGATATAGTGGAATGGTCACTTAGCACTGAAGGGAATTTGCAGCTTATGAGCTCCAGAACATTTCCATCGTGATTATTTTAGTCTTAAAATGCATTTTCTACTGAATCAAGGATGGGCATTGTATTAGTAACCTGTGTTATTGTTGATACAAAACACTCTAATAAAAAGCAACCTAAGGAAGGACTTATTTTGGCTCACAGTTAAAGGATATGGCCCACAGTGGTAGAGGAAATCATGGCGGCAGGAGTTTAAGGCAGCCAGGCACAGTGTATCCACTGTGGGGAAGTAGACAAGGTTGAACACTCATGCTTAATTCACTTTCCCATTTTTTATCCAGTCCTGAATCCCAGCCCAGGGAATCAGCGGTGCTGCCTCCATTCTGAGTGGATTTTGCCATCCCATTTTAAGCTAGAAAATTCTGCATAGACATTTCAGTGGCTAATCTACTCTAGACAATCTCTTGCAGATATGCTTGTCTTCTAGATGATGTTAGAGCCTGTTAGAGCTGACAATATTAGCCATCACAGGTACTTAGGTGGATCTATAGAAAAATGTCTTATCAAAATACACTTGACCTATATTGTCCTAATGGCTTCTTGAGGTTCAACCACCATGTGATTGCATGTCATTCTTGAGTTCTGATGTAGGATGATGAATATATTTTCTTCTGTGCTTGCAAACCTTCTAAATACCTTGTAACCTGGGAAAGTAGGATTTCTGTCTCTACTCTTTTAGTTGTGCCTTTGGTGAATTTAAGAAACTCTTTAAAAATTATTATTATTTTATGTGTATGGATGTTTTGTCTTCATCTATATTTGTACATGTGCATGCCTGGTGACCTTAGGGGCCAGAAGAGAGCATTATTTTACACGGAACTGGAGTTAAAAATTTTTGTGAACTGTCATGTAGGTGCTGGTAACTGAACCCAGGTCCTCTGGGAGAACACCATTACTCTTCATCCCTGAGCCATTTCCCCAGACTCAGCTAAAATAACAATTACACAGCATGGCCTTGAAAAGTAGACAAGAAAGAATTTCCAAAGAAGCTGGGAAGAAAACACTGGGGATGGCATGCAGTATTCTCCTGGTACAACTCCTGGAGACACTTGCAGGATCCTGGCTGATGCTGCATTAGTCTTCACTGGATCCAGACACTGTTGGGTCCTCTTCCCCAGCAAAAGCTTAATTCTGTTAGATGGGCAATATGACTCTTGGTAACTATTTTGAAAAGAACAACACTGGTACACTTAAAACATTTCTGGCAATATACAATATCTTTGCTGTGTAAATCTTCCATTTGCCTAAATGGCCAGACTTGCAATCTCCTGTCTCTCAGGATCTGTTTAAATTTCTTAAAGTGTAACCTGAGGTTGGGACCTAAAAAGATTTAAGGATGACAGCATATGTGGAATTCTAGCCTAAGGTGTATATAAATTAGCAAAATATCCTATTCAAGGCCAACTTCTCTTTGGGCATTAGTCATAGCCAGAAATGTGGTAAGAGCATTTCCTTTATTAATCTCTATGCATGAAGAGAGATTTCTTACTGAGATGGTACATTATTTCTACAACAGCTTTACCAGAGTCTATAGTCATCTTACCTGTGATGTCTAACACTGATGGTCAACTTAACAGCATCTAGAGTCACCTAGGAGACAAGTCTCTGGGCACTCCTGGGAGAAATTGTCTAGATCAGATTAGCCTCTGGAATGTCTATATGGGATTATCTAAATTAAATTGAGATGGGAAAACCCACTCAGAATGGAGGCAGCAATAGTCCCTGGGCTGGAGGCCAGGACTGGATAAAAAGAAAGTGAGCTGAGCCTGAGCATTCATCAGGTTAAACTCTAGGATCCCCAGTGGATTTTGAATTTCAAATGAACAATATGTTTAGGACATATTAAGAAGTGTATTTAGCTCAAATGAAGGCATTTTGTACTTTATCCAGTCACTGTATCAGCTGTACTTTCTCTTCTGTGACCTCTTCTACCCCAGCTAAAGCCTTTCAGCTTTCCTTGAGGGTTTATCCCTCTAATGCTATCAATTCATTCCATGTTTATTGTCTATATTTTTCTCTACAGGGGAAGACAAGACTATTTTAGAGACCTGATGGGCATGTAGGAAGGGAGAAGGTATGATGTGATTGCCTCAGATGTTGAGAACCTGGGGGGTCATTTGCAAATTGGGTGTTGAAAATAGACTTCTCATTGATGGAAAATCCAATGTAAGACGATGCTGACTAGGTGAGCTGTCAATTTGGGACTCCCCGTGTGCTATAGCTCTGGCAGCACCAATATCTACATTCTCATGATGGAAGAAAGAAGAAACTCGTGTTAGTTATCAAGACAGTTTCTCCAAAGTTGTATTATCTCTTGCTAAAGTTGTCCACTGCCCACGAATCTTTAGTGATAGGCCCCACTAGAACTGCTGTGTGGGAATCTATTCCTTTTACCCTGATTGCAAATTCTATAAGAATTCTTGCTAGAGGATATCAAAGCTTTCTGACTGCAGGTCTGGGCTTGTAAGGAAATATCTCACAAAGGAATTTGTCCTAAGGAAGGCTCTTTAAACCCAAGTCTGAGACTATACATCCCCAAGAAATACTGGTGAGGAACTGGAGTCCAAAGCTATAACAGTTGTTCCAGTTATATGGCCAGCTTTCAGGAGAGCAGATTCCATATGTGCTCCAAATTGTGTCTGCAAACCAAATCCTCTATCCAAGGGGAAGCCAGGGCCTGTCAATAATGCTGAAGCAGACACTACAAAAGACCGGAAGTCCATGGCTCAGGGCTAGCACTGAGAACAATTGAAGGACAGGTAAGTCAGAAAGAATTTCTTAGGCAACAGAGATGAGAGCTGAGTCTTGGAGTTTAGGTCATTAACTTGACACTCATCATGCTTTTGATCCTTTGAGAGGTAAATCTACTATAACTCCAGTATAGACAGAGTTCCTATTACCTTTAAAGATGTATTTCCTATCAAAATACAAAATGAAAACTACAGAAGACTGTGGCTGGTAAACTGGGAAAAAAGGAGATCGCAGAGACATCCCACCCCACCTTCCTCTCCTTCCCATCTTCCTCTCCTTCTCTTAAAAGGAAGAGGGTAAATATAAAAGAGGGATGGATGCTGGGACAAATTTTCTCGTTGAAGGGGGGGAAGAAGAGGAAATAAATGCGACTCCAGTTACTCATCCATCAGAGGCCACCTCAAAAGGCCAAAGGTTCCCAAAGATGATAAACAGCCATGACCTAAGCAATGACAGGAATAACCCTTCAGTAACAGCTGTTCTCTACCTCTCCTAGAGCATGTAGCAGTGAAATTTAAATACCATTGTCTCGATCAGCAGGATTCCAATCAAAATCATCTTCTCTGTCCTGTTTCCAGTCACAGACCCCATGACTAAAGCTGCAGTCAACTGAGATGTTTAAGTCTGCTAAAAAAAAAAAATCACATTCAGAACCATTAAGAGAGTCACAAAAGTAGCTAAAAAGTAGCTAATTTGGAGTTCTAGAAGGAGATGCCATGGGTTTATTTGCACAGAATATAGACTGTGAGACTGTGGCAATTTACATGCTTGTAGAGGTAGTTTAAAACAGATTCACTGTTTTTTAGAATTTTATGCTTTGTGTGTATGAGTGTTTTGTCTGCATTTATGTTTGTGTACCATGTGTGTGCCTGGTGCCCATAGAGGTATGAAGAGAGCATTATGTGGTTAATTTCATGTATATTACAGGTGGCTGTGGGCCACCATGTGGATAAGAATAGAAGTTGTGTCCTCTGCAAGGGCAGCAAGAACAATTAACTACTGAGCCATCTCTCCAGATACCCTATTTTGAGTTACATCTGTACAGCCCTTCTTAATAAATCCTGTTGTAATCTTAGAAAAGAAAACTGAAGGAACCAAAAAGGTGGCTCCATGGTTAAGAGCATAATGGCTCTCATTAGTGCAGCGAAGCAGGGAGTATCACCAGTTGTCCATACAATTCAATCTAGAGTCAGAGTGCAGAAAACAGGTGTCTGTGGAGTGCTCAGCCATAAGACATCTAACTCACACCCCTTCCTACAAGGCTCAGGTATTTTGTAATAGTGACTAACGCACACATGAAACGGGTATTTCCCTTGTCCTACATCATCTCAGAACTAGATAATTATGGATAGCCCCTGTGCTCCTAAGGCAGTGGTTCTCAACCTTCCTGATGCTGTGACCCCTTAATACATGTTGTGGGTGACCTTCAACCACAAAATTACTTTCATTGCTACTTCACAAATATATTGTTACCACTATGAATCATAATGCAAATGTCTGTGTTTTCTGATGGTCTTAGTTGACCCCTGTGAAAGGATCATTTGACCCCCCAAAAGGGTTGTGACTCACAGGTTGAGAACCACTGCCCTAAGGCCTCTGAAGTTACTCAAATTATCCAGCCTTAAATGATCTCCCTTGCTACCTCCCCCTTGACTTTCCTTCTACATAACCCTTAAAGACCTTGGCCTAGTTTTCCACTAGCTCCTACTCTTGCTTAGTGTAACCCCTCTCTTGTAAGTGTACATAATAAATTATTGTTTCAGTGGCAGTGGCCTTATGTTGTCACCCAGTACCTCCATTAATTAAAATCTAATGGGCAATTCATGACTCCAACATTCCTGGCAGTTTCTGAAATGTGTTTTTGTTGGTGGTGTTTCCTGTTATGGCAGTATGGGTGTATAGTTAAGATGTACCAAAGGAATATGAGTGGAGTCAGCTAGTGCTAGGATAATCATTCAAGACCAGTGTCTCTGGTTACGTTTTTGTATAGCAGAGGTCTGTAAACCAGCACATTAGCCCACTTCTAGTTTTATAAAGTCTTATGGGAGAACAGCTTTCAATTTACTCGTATGATATCTTGCTACTTTAAGCTACAAGGACAAAGGGACCTGTGAGCTACAGAGACCATCTGGCTCACAAAGTCTCACATATTTGCTCTGTGGCCCTTTCCACAGAAAAGTGTGCTGACTCATGATGTAAGATAACGACAAAGCACTGTGAAAGAGGACAAAGACCAAGACACTTCTGATTTAAAGCCAAGGCAGCCCCCTTTCTCTCCACGGTTTCTCTGTGTAGCTCCAACTGGCTGAAATTCACTACATAGATCAGAATAGTTTCTCATTTACATAAGCTCAAGTGTCACTGCCTCCAGAATGCTGGTATTAAAGGCCAGCCTTTTCTTAAACATCTTTAAAATTACATTTTAACTATACACGTGGAGGTCAGAGGACAATCTGTGGAAGTCAGCTCTGTCCTTCCCCTGTGTGGATGACTGGGATCAACATCAAGTCATCAAGTTTGGTGGCAGGTACCTTTACCTTCTGAGACATCTTGCTGGTTCATAAGTTGCTTTTTCTTGACTCATCTCAATTTGTCATTTTCATTGGACCCTTAATAAATCCAAGGTTCCTAAATGAGTTATCCAGGCTTCATAGATACTGAATGCTGAAACTGAGCCTGAACCTAAATCAGGCTGAGATCTATGACTGTCCATTTTGCACAGGTCAGGTTTGGCTTTGAGGTGGGAAAGCATTAAAGACAGACAATTTTTCATATCAGAGGCAACATAGTAGGGATCTTAACGGGAAAAAGGCTCTCTTTCAGAAGCTGGAGAGGAGCTTCATTAAGAGAGATAGCCTAGCCAGGGTGGTGGTGGCACACACCTTTAGTCCCAGCACTTGGGAGGCAGAGGCAGGTGGAACTTTGTGAGTTTGAGGGCAGCCTGTTCTACAGAGTAAGTTCCAGGACACCAGGGCTACACAGAGAAGCCCTGTCTCCAAAAACAAGGGCAAACAAACAAAGAAAAACCCAAAACAACAAGAAAAGAGATACTCCAAAGTAAAAGAGACACAACTGCCATGGCAACATGTGGGTGGGATTTCCAGAAGAGAAGAAGTCTTTATAGAAACCCCCCATTGGTGGCCAGACGGTGGTGGCACACACTTGTAATCCCAGCTCTTAGGAGGCAGAGGCAGGCAGATTTCTGTGAGTTCAAGGCCAGACTGATTAACAGAGAGAGTTCCAGGATAGCTAGAGCTACACAGACAAACTCTGTCTTGAAAAACAAAAGAGAGAGAGAAAGAGAGAGAGTGTGTGTGTGTGTGACAGAGACAGTGAGAGATACAGAGAGGAGAAACAGATGTAGTGAGATATCTTAATCTGTGCATCATTAGACAGAGACACAGAAAGATAGATTCAAAGGGGCTAGTTTTTTTTTTTTAAACTGGTGGGAAGTTTCACGTCATAAAGTTTAATTCAACATAACCTATGTGATAAAGAACATGAAAGAGTCAAGTCTTGGGTAAGACTATACTTAATTATTGACTATTAGGCAACAACACAGCATCCTATCTCTCTATCTCTGACCCAGAGGTGGAGTTGCAGGGGTATGTAGCTGTGAGATCTGGCCTCTTACAGTGCCTGACTGGCATCTTAAGTGATCAGCTTCTTAAAGGGGCAGGCCCATGATCTAGATCTACCAAGTTGAATGGGAACTAGTTGGGAAGAGGAATAGAATCAGTGAGAGTGGGAGGGGGATAAGAGAGGGTAATAGGGACAAACATGATCAAAATGCATTATAAGCGTGTATAAAATGTCATAATGAAACTCATAATATGTAATTAATATATGATAATAAAAACTTTTTTGAAAAATATTTTTAAAATTTATTTATTTTTATTACATATACAGTGTCCTGTCTGCATGTCAGAAGAGGGCACCAGATCTCATGATAGATGGTTGTGAGCCACCATGTGGTTGCTGGGATTGAACTCAGAACCCCTGGAAGAGCAGCTAATGGTCTTAACCTCTGGGCCATCTCTCCAGCTCAAATAAAGAAATTTTAAATGGCCTAGTATTTAAAAGCTGGTGGTTAGGGGTAAAGGGATTTCCTCCTGGCCTGATACAACCATCTTTTATCATGGAGAATAGGATGATGAGCTAACCTACAGAGTACTTGTTCCTGTAGCTATGGCAACAAAATAAATTGAACAGTACAGTGATGGGCAGGTCTATAGTAATGGTAATAGTCAGTAACAGTTCCTAGTAATGGGAGAGGATCACAGGACTCTCACCAGCCATCTCATCCCTCTTGATTACCCCCGCCCTGCTGCAATAGTATTGGGAGCCACTAAGGCAGACAGGACCTGAAAAAAGGCAGGACTCCATGATGCAGCTTTTGTGACATTATCCTCACCTATGATGAATTGGGACCTCTCAGTGATACAGCTATTTTTCATGTAGGTCAGCTCAGTCTAGATCACGTGGTGTGAAGCTTGATTCCTCAACCCCCCAAACCTATAAGAGTCAACCTCTTTGTTCTCCAGCTTTAAAGGGAAGGCTCTCTTTCTTCCTTAAAGGTCCTGTTAGGGCTCCCTGTAGCCATGATGCTATTTTTCTCCTGAGTTGAAAGTTCTTTCTCTCATGTCAGGGCCTCATCTAATAAAGTTCTTCCTGAAGGGTGATCTCATGTCAACTCCTTTTTGCGAGTCTGTTAACTGTTTTAAATTACAAAATACTTAGAAAGAAAGCATTAGTTATTGTGAACAAAAGTTCCCAGGAAGGAGCCAAACCTACACAGAACATTCTACAGAAGCTACTTGAGTGACTTGCGAGAGGTCAAAATGCTGCTGAGTCAAATTATTCTGAGGTTTTTTAGCCCCTTCTGACCCAACATCCTTGTGGCTACCAGGTGAATCCTTCCCAGATGTATTAACTTAGCAGATTCCCAGCTTCCACCAACCTCAAAGCTAAAAATGTCATCAGATAGCATCTGGAGCCTCTACTATAGGCTCCCCCACTTGGCTGGAACTTACTGACCTGGTGTTTTCATCAATGTATTTGAAAAATGATTTTATGCCTTTCTTTGTTCCTTACCATAAAAGTCTAGGAAAACCGCTACTACATTGGAAAATGATGTTTTAGGTACCTGGAATATGTAATCTTAGGCCATGACCACTCATTATTTATTCTCTTTGAAACAAGAGCTGTATTTTTTTTTAAAGTTACCTTTGTTTTCCAGTTTGTAATTTAGCTCTTTTCTTTGGATGTAGATCAGATCCAAATCCTCTGCTTCATTTACCTTAGGAGCTGATAAAGAACCTTGATCAGTTAAGAAATAACAGAACCCCACCCCCATCCACCAATGGAATGAATTTAGTGTCGGAAAGAAGGTTTTGTCATGGAGTCTAATGGCAGAACATGTTAGATCACCACTCATTATCCATTGTTGTGCATGGGTAACTGAAGGGAGACTCCCCCTCTGCACTATGGGGAAGTTGTCATTCATGCAGAGGTGAGACTGAATGGTGCTGTGGCTTCTTTGGGGTCACTCACACTCCTGGAAGCAGCCCATCAGGCAAGGACTTACTTATTTGTAAGTAAGCTCAATAGACTCATTGGTTAGCCAAGTTAGGCTCTGGTGCAATCAGCCTTTGCACTATTGTTGGGGCCTCATAAGGATAGTAGAGAGGGGTTGTTTATATCTCCCCCCAAGAAGGAATTCGAACACACAACAGGTTACCAAAAAAAAAAAAAAAAAACCAAAAAATATACAAGAGTAGGAAGGAGGCTATTTGGGAAGAGAATGGGGACCAGAGGGAGTGAGAATGGGACAAGAAAGCATAATATAAGAAAATATATTCTCTACATGTATGACATTTCATTTGCATAATTCATATAGGCTAATATCCTTTTAAAAGATTAATGTATTTGTTATGTATACAGTGTTCTGTCTTCATGTGTCCATGCAGGCCAGAAAAAGACACCAGATCTCATTAGAGATGGTTTTGAACTACCATGTGGGCGCTGAGAATTGAACTTAGGACCTCTGGAAGACTAGCCTATGTCCTAAAATATGTTTTGAGAGAAGTTTTTTGTTTTGTTTTTGTTTTGTGTGTGTGTGTGTGTTTGTGTGTATGTGTGTGTGTGTGTGTGGCTCTGCTGTCCTGGAGCCCACTCTGTATGCCATGATGTTCTCAAACTCACAGAGATCCACCTTACTACCTCTGTTTCCTGAGTGCTTGGATTAAAGGTGTGCACCACCACCATGGGCATCATAAAAACTTTTCAAAAGCTGGGTTTGGTGACATACATTTTTAATTCTAGTATTTAGAAACAGAGGCAGGCAGATATCTGAGTTGAAAGTCTGCTTAGTCTACGTAATGAATTCCAGGATAACCAAGACTACATAGAGAGACCCTGTCTCAAAGAAAAAAAAAACCTAAAAAAAAAAAAACTAAAAGGGGAGTGCCTGGGAGATTTGGTGGGTGTCCTTCTTGGAAGGACTGGCAGCCATACAACTATGATTGCTGTGTGTTAGCATGGAGGGGCTGTGCCAAAGAGGAAATACCCAAGTAAAGGGACAAGATAGGACTGAGTCTTCTGTTTCCCAGAGCAAGAAGATCCCATTTAACACCTGTGGAAAATATTCTTTAGACCTTACATTGGCCTTTGCTTCTGGAGACTTGAGGGCTAAACTATTTTCCTTTTTCTAGTTTAAAAACATTTCACCTGGGGGCTAGAGAGATTGCTCAGGAGTTAAGAGCACTGGCTGCTCTTCCAGAGCACCCAGGTTCAATCCCCAGCATCCACATGGCAGCTTGCAACTATCTGTAACTGAAGTTCTAGTGGCATCCTCACACAGACATGTACACAAAGCACCAATGCACAAAAAATACAAATAAATTGTTAAAAAACATTTCACCACATGTTCTCCTTCATATGCTAAGCATAGCCTCCAGTGTGTATGTGTATATATGTCAACAGATGTGAATACGGGTATAGGATAGCATTTAGGAAGAAGATCAAGAGAGGGTCATAATTAGGTGATGAGAAAGGACAGAAAACAGGAAAATGACTCATGAGTCATGGAGGAAGATGTAAAGTTATTTTTTCCCAAGTTTCTATTCTGTTATGTTTTTTCTTTTTTCTTTTTTTAATACATAGGTACATACAGATGCAACTGGTAGTGAAACCCAAGTGAAGGTCCACAGTTTCAGAATGGCTATGATAAGTGTACAGATGCCCACTGAACTGTATGGAATTTGGGAGTGCACAAATGTTTGAGTTGCCTCCTCAAAAATGTTGTGTGATGTTTTTATTTGTGATTTAATAAAGTGATTGTATTAAAAATGTTTTTAAATAAAAAGTTTGTATGTTTCAGAATCAGTATATAGAAATGGAGCTGAGCCATCTCTCTTAAGGTGGGGATTATCTACGCTTGTTCATTGATTTGTCATGAGGAATCATGTTTGTTTTTGTAAAATGCAAGAATAGCCAAAGCAATACTTACAAAATACATCTCCTCGAAGGCTTCGCTCCTGTTCTATCTCATTCTGTAGGACTTTGTCTCTTTTCTCTTCCTGAAGCCCCTCTCTCTTTCTCTCTTCCTTCCTTTTTTCTTCTCTATCAGAGTTTCCACCCCTGGAAACACTCTCTTCAGAGCTGAAAGGCAAGTTAACCTTAGGGGTACGTGTACTGGTGGGTCTTGGAGTGACATTTTTCAGCTTCACCTTTTTCTTCATATTGTGCTTATGAGCCAGTAACTTCTTGATTCGATCTTTGATGGTTCCGGGAGCTCTGAGTAATTCCTTCACAGAATTTTCAGGGATAACTAAACCAAAAAGCAAGACAGGAGATTTCCCACTTGGTTGAGATCATTCTTGAAGAATTGGCCATTTTGGAAATGTCAAAGTGCAGGAAGTAAATGCTTCCATAATCAGCCCCAAATAAGACCTCTATAATGTTCCTTCCAAATCTCAGGGAGCATCATGGAAGAGGGGATGGAAAAATATGATCAACAGAGGAGGAGGGGCTTAGGAGGCCCTGTCTTCTCTGAGGAGCTGATGGCAGTTGATGGTTAATGGGGGGGGTCATTTTGTTCAATGGTGTAGATACTGGTAAAATGCCCCTTCTTCAATAAATAATGCCCTCCCATCTCATGCTCATGCAAGCAACTCCAATCAATTAAACTCAGTAGGTCACTACCCTCTCACAAGAAAAAATAAAATAAAACAACTTGAGAATGAGTTCTGGGACACAACATCCCTGAGTTTTGGGACACAGAGACCTGTGCATCTCAAATGCCCTGTGGACACTGATCCATTCCTGTGCCATTACAACTCTGTGAGGTTCCCTGATCCACGCTCTTAGAAATTACCTAGTGAGCTTTACAAGAGACTGTAATTTCCACTCATTGGTCTCAGTCTTCTTTAGAGGGGCTAATTTTGTTTCATGTTCCTCTCCTCTCCTCTAATCTCTTCTCCTCTTCCCTTCCCACCCCTTCTCTCCTCCCCTCCCCTCCCCCTTGTTCCTTCTCCTCTCCTACCCTTTCTTTCCCTCCCTTCCCTTCTCTACTCCTATCCACCCAGCTCTGTGTCACATTTCTTTTAAAAATTCCAGACACAGTTTATGCTTTCCATCATTATTTTTCTTCAAAATAGATTCTTCATGGATTCTGATTTCTAGACCCAGCCACAGCCCACTTGGATACCGTGGCCCTTTTGTGTATGTGCTGTTGAATGCCTGTCACAGCACATAGTGTTTACTCTTGCATAACCTAAAAGATATTCTGTGTGTCATCAGCAGACTTGGCTGGGCGGGGTCACAGGTTGTGAGGCGGGTCAGCATATGATTTACAGCCATACTTATGAGACTTGTGCCAAAGAGCACAGGAGATACTTGAGACAAGGCAGTGAAGAAGTCCATAGTAGGTGTGGCCGCACATGCTTATAGTCCTCAGGAAGCTGAAGCAGGCTAGCCTTGACTACATAATGAGCATGAGGCAGCCAAGACTATATAGCAAGGCCTCATTTCAAAGAAAATACACAAACAAGCCAGCAGGGCCAGTGAGATGGCTCAGCTCATTAGAAACACTTGATGCACAAGCCTGGTTTGCTCTCCAGAGTCCACAAAAAGGAGGATGGAGAGCACTGACTCCAGAAAGTTTCCCCTGACCTCCACATGTATGCTGTGGTATGCATGCCCCACAAACACCATACACAGGTACACAACACTCTAATAATAATAATAATAAGAAAAATCAAAACCAACCAACCAACCAAAAACACAACATAATACAACATAACAAAACAAAAGCAAGTCTAGTCACACAATGGGCCAGGATTACAAGAAGGATAAATCTAGTTATTATTATTATTAATTATTATTTTATCATTATTACTACTATTTTTCTTAATCTCATGAAGCCCAGGCCAAACTCACTATGCAGACAAGGATGACCATGAAATCCTTATCTTCTTTCTTCCACCTCTTAAGTGTTGGGAGTACAGGTATGAGTCATTACGCTGACTGGTTGACTTTAAACACTATAGGACTTTGCTTATTGGAGGATGGCCTGTGCTGTGAGCATACATAGTCTGCCCTAGCAGGTATTTCAGGTACTCCCTGGGCTTCATAGTATTCATCATCACCCCTATCAAACACCACCATCATCATCATTTTGGCCCTTAAAGTCTACCACTTCCAAGCTGAAGTAGTAAGAGGTGGTAGGTATATAATTAATTGCCCATGCTTCTTTCCAGGGTGTGAAATATTGTAAGGGCTTGGATTAATACCCTAGTACCATAAGATGGTGGAGCCTCAGTCAGCTTGGGTCTTTCCCTAAGGAAGAAATCTTCTAAAATGTTTCTTTATACATAGTACTCATGGGAAATTACTTTTGCTGTTATTCCAGATATATATGACAATTTCTAGTTGGATGTCTGGCTTATTATACACTAACAGTTTAAATTTGCTATCATTAGAGAGTTCATTGGTTGTCACACACACACACACACACACACACACACACACACACAGAGAGAGAGAGAGAGAGAGAGAGAGAGAGAGAGAGAGAGACAGAGAGAGACAGATAGCAAAACTGTCAAGACCAAATGTTACTTACCAGAACACTGAAGTCCATTGCCCCTATATCCCTGTTTGCATTTGCACTTGAAGGATCCTTGAGTATTGAGGCAATTGGCATGGGGGCTGCACATATGGGTATTGAGGGCACACTCATTTATATCTGAAAAGGGGAACATTCCAGTGAACAACTTCATGATAAAAGGATTTGCTGAAAGTAGCCTTTTCACTTCAACAACTTCAAGGCTAAGCACTCAACACCTCAGCAAAGTAAGTGCTGCCTGAGAGCAGAGAGGTGTTCAAAGCCAGAGGCCCTTTGGCTGAGAGCCCTGGCTTTGCCTGGCGCCTGTCTGGTATGTATTGAAGGTGCCTGCAACTCACCTCCCCAGAGCAACTTCACGGGCCTGCTTATTATTAATGCTGTTGAAATCTGCTAAAATGTTTGGAGTTTTTCCTTAACATTTTCATCTATGTAATCGGGAACTAAGTGACAGTATCAGAAAGTAAATGCTAAATTTTGGTTGGGTTTGCTTTTTATCCATGTAATCTGAAACTAAGTAACAATATCAGAAAATGGATTCTAATTTTAGATGGCCTTGAAATGCTTCATAAACAAAGGACAGGATCAGCCAGGAACCTCTGACATCATCTGAATTCATCATGGATACGGACATTTTGTTTAGAACCTGCCAGGGGAAAGGGTCAGGCTGGTTTGAGCTCGTCTGCTGGAATTAAAGGTGGAAAATTGGCCAGATTCCACCCAGGTGGGAGCTTCAAGTGCTCTACTCTCCAGCTCATGTCCTGTCTATGCCTTTGTAGATGGAAGCATACAAAACAGTGTATTGTTTTGAACTCAGCCACAAAAGGAGCTCTGTTGCTAATCGTAAGCAGTTTTAGCACATCAGAGATTTGCTTCCTTGTGAAGCTGTGTGGACTCCCAGCTTGTTGTGTGGGGGAAGTTCTTGCAGTGGCAGGGAAATGGGGAACACTGCACCACTGTCATTGGCTTGCACATCTGGCTGGGTTGACAGGACAAGGTGGGGCTCAAGCTCACGACAAACAGGAATTTTATGTGCCTGTCTTTACATCAAAGAGGATTTGAGGAATAACTGTGGAGGCCTCCCAAGATGGTTCAAAATCCAGCAATGGAATGTTGCTCCACCATGATGATACAAAGCATGTCCTAAGCACAAGATTGAAAGAACCACATTTTCTTCAATGGTTAGCTTTCCCTGTCATGTGCATATGTTTGTCACCCATGTTATGTGAATAGGGAGCTGGAGGCAACCCAGACTCCTCTTCATTGTAGGACAATATATTAAGAGCAATTGTAGTGGGATATTTGTACAGTGTGAAGGTGTATTGCTGTGATTAGTGTAATAAAAAGCTGAAAGACCAATTGCTACATATAGGTGGGACTTCCAGGCAGAGAGCTCTGGGAAGAAGAAAGGTGGAGTTGCCAGCCAGACACGGAGAGGAAACAGGAGTTACAAGTTGGAAGAGAGGTAATGACACATGACAGAATGTAGATTAATGTAAATTGGTCTATTTAAATTATAAGAGCCAAAACTAAAGGGCAAGCATTCCTAATTCGTAATATGTTTCTGTGTTGTTATTTTGGAGCTGGTGTCAGATGAAAAAGCTGGCTACAGGCAATGGGTATGCATATCTGACCTCACAAGCTCTTTGAGGCTTGGGATCCCTTCACTAAGGGATAAAACATATTTTACTTCATGCAGACAAGACTAACAGCTGACTAAGTATTATCAGAGAGTGATTTTATTTGTTCCTTGAACTACGAAAGGGTTAAAAGAAGAAAGAGGAAAGAACGTGCTCTTTTGTACAATTTTCCTTTTAAAAAAATTGATGTGTGTGTATATGTGTGTTTGTGTGTGCATGTGTGTGCAGATGTGTGTGCCTCTGTCTATTCTCTATGATTATCTATTTTTCTTTTTGAGACAGAGTCTTTCCCTGTTTTCTTAGGTAAGCCAGAAGCCAGCAGACTCCAGTGACCCTCCTGTCCCTGTTCCCTAGAGCTGTGGTTCAGGTGTTTTCTGGGAAGGTTGGCTTGTTACATAGGTGCTGGAACCCAAACTCAGGCCCTTGTGATTGTAGACCAAGTACTTGTAACTACTGAGTCATCTCACCAGTCACCTCCATACATTTTTCTAAAGCTATTTCAATGGAAAATATTAAGGATAGACCACTAAGATCTTCTTAATCTTACAGCAAATAGATGTGTAATTGGAGATAGAACCAAACATGTAAGCCAAACGAAAGCTTACAAAATTAAAACCTCATAGACAAAATCTCAAGATATTTACCTCCATGATAGTTGTATTCAATTATTTAAGTCACTAGCTGTATAATTAATCTTGTTGGAGTTGCCTAAATGCCAAAAACTTAATATCAAGTTTTTTTTTGTGTGTGTGTGTCTGTGTGTGTGTGTGTGTGTGTATGTGAGTATGTGTGTGTTGCTGGCCAGTGTAGTAGATTGAATGGACATGAAAAATACTTGGAGGCAAGGGGGAAAAAGTCACTGTATCTTACCTACACAATCATACCGGCGACTGACATATTTCAATTCAAAACCAATGTGACATTTGCAGTAGTAGCTCCCAAATGTGTTCACACATCTTCGATTGTAAGGGCAGACTGCTTTTCTAGAAGCACATTCATCGATATCTAAGGTATAGGAGTAAAAGCTATCAGTGATTACAGGAAGACTACTCCAACACACACGCATGCACATGTTCTCACCTTAACCCCTAGCATGCTCTGCTCAAGAACATATAGTCTCCTTGCCCAGAAAACTCGTTATCCAGTGCCTATGTCACATCTTCAGGAAGTATTCTAAGTCTTTACCAGGCATATGAACAGCTCTTTAGTTTGCAGGTTCATATCATTATGCCTATCTTTTCTTGAGGAACAAGTACTTCATCAACTGAGCTATTCTACTACATTCATTCTTAAAGTAACAAGTACTGAATTGAGCAAAGTTATTGTTCAGTGATCATTTTTCTGAGCATCAGCTCTCCCTTTCAATTAAAATGGCACCCAACCAATTAAGGAGATAGGCAAATTTTTTTGAATTTAGTTTAATCAAGACTAAGTCATGTCACCGGGCGGTGGTGGCACACACCCTTAATCCCAGCACTCAGGAGGCAGAGGCAGTTGGTTCTCTGTGAGTGTGAGGCCAGCCTGGTCTACAGAGCTAGTTCCAGGACTGCCTCCAAAGCTATAGAAAAACCTTGTCTCAGAAACAACAACAACAGCAACAATAAAACCCTACATCATATCAGGTGAATCTTATACTAAAGGATACTAAGCTCTGTGACCCTTCTCAGAAGGGAGATAGAAACTGAGGGTGTGGGGGTGGGGAGGTGGCACACACCTTTGATCCCAGCCCTTGGGAAGCAGAGGCAGGTGTATCTCTGTGAATTTGAGGCCAGCCTGGTCTACAGAGAGAGAAAGTGCCAGGGCAGCCAGGGATACACAGAGAAACCATGTCTTGAAAACCAACCAAACAACCAACCAACCAAATAAACACAAAGACAAAAGCAAAAAAGAAGAATGTAAAATACATGCATGTTTAGAAAAAGTGTTTACCTGGCTGAGCTTACTTTACACCCAAATCCATCAAATTATATACATTTACAATAAATAAGCATGCAGCATCCTGACAGAAAAAGTATGTCTATTACACTGAAGAGGTATTACATCATATTTATATTTGCTTATTTAAATCAAAGAAGAACTTTCTCAAAATTCTGGGCTCATTTGCTTTCCCTTATTGAGACTGTGGATTCACCCAACATAAACATTATGTGTATTTGGTGCAATGTGATTGTTAGGAATATATACAATCAGGCAATTGAACATAATTCAAATTCACAATGGTAACCTATATGCAAAAATGGATGAAATGGTGCTTCAGCTACCTAGGATGCCCCGCCACTCAACCCTCAAAGCTGCAAGCTAGACTTGCTCCTGGGCCTGACTGGGCAGTCTAGGGAGTCTCATCCTGGAGCAGCCTCCCATGAATGAAGAGCAGGGGCTGATGGAGAGATACCCCAAAACCTTGCCCAAGAGGAAAAACCACGGCAGCTTTCCTCAGAGTTGTGGCATGAATGTGAAATGTCTTCCACAGGCTCATTCACTTGAACACTTGGTCCTTGGTGATGTTTGGAAAGGTTGTGGGCCTTCTAGGAGGAGGAGCATTACTAGGGGAGTGGAGTGACTGTGGGTGGGTGACTTTGAATTCTGATAGCCAAATCTCGCTTCCTGTTAGTTTTCTACTTCCTGCCTGCACATGCAATGCGACCAGCTGCCTCACTTCATATTCCTGCTGCCGAGCCTTCCCCACTATGATATTCCACATCTTTTCAAATTTTAAGTCAAAATACGCCCTTCTTCCCTTAAGTTCCTTCTTGTCAAGGATTTGAGCACTTTCTAAGTCCTCAACCAGTGTTTTCTGGGATTATCTACTGAGCCATCTGTTTGCTCAGCTTCTGTGGACCCATAAACTATGATGTGCAATAAACCAAGGGAGCATGGAAGTTTGAGCTTTAGGCCACTGATTTTATTAAAGTAATGGCTGTAAAGGAATTGTTTATGTGTTCCTTAATTGATAGTGATTTAATCTGTCCATTTTGTCTAGTCAGAATAACAATGAAACTATAGTTTTATGTTTTTGAGATAGGATCTCATTATGTAGTGCTGGCCGACCTGGAACTCACTATGTAGATCAGGCTGACCTTGAACTCACAGAAGTTTGCTTGCCACTGCCTCCCATGTGCTGGGTAGTTTGTATAATTTAAAGCCAGGTTTAATTTGAGACAGAATCATATGTAATCCAGATCCCGTGGTGTACTCAACCACAGCTGGTTTATATGGTGTTGCAGATTGAAACCAAGGCTTTGTGCATGCTAGGCAAGCACTCAACCAACTGTTTTAAACTAGAAAAAAATTTTTAATATGAAAAATAGTTTAAAACAGTGCACTAAACATTATAGGAAGCCTATACTATTTTCACTAAATTAATACTGAAAATAAAACAGTAAATACATGTTTTCCAGGAAAATGATAGAACTTGAAACAAATCCCAACAGCTCATAAGATCTGACTCATTGAATGAGTAGTGTCATGTCAGTCTCATGGTACTTGGAGTCAAATATGCAATGTCAATACAGTAAATAAAAAGAACCTTTATGCCTTATCCATTAGGCAGAATAAACTACTAGAAGACTGCTTTCTCTTATATCCTTAAGTATGTAGAGAGCACAAATTATTGAAGATATTTCATAGATAGACAGAGATCAGTACTTGGAAGAATTCACCATATTTGTTCAGCACGAGCCTTGTGAAGAATGAAAACAGAGTTCAGTGGAGGAGGACTATAGGGGAACGGAGAGAAAATGGAGAGGAAATGGGAGGGGAATTGAGGGGGTGGAAAGGAAATGGGAGGGGAATGGAGAGGAAATGGGAGGGGAATGGAGGGGAAAGGAGGTTAAACTTTCTGTTTTACCTAGGCACACTCTTCCATTTGAGCCCAGGCGGAGGCCAGAGGATGGACACACACACCGTGGCCCTTCCTCTGTTTCTTCACAGCTGTACTGGCAGTTTGTCCTGGCACACGTCCTAGACTCTGCAAAAGTAGACAAAGATTAACTAAGAAAGTCTCTCCTAATTCTGAGATGTGAAATGTAATATGTCTTAGGAAAGGCTTCATGGTCTGAGTCCCAAAAGGAAACCCACAAGGAATCTGGGCAGGTGCATACCTTTGTTCCCTTTGTTTTGCCTACTTTTAATGTGGGCATGACATCTGGAGCTGAAGAAACCATATGTTCATTGTAAGGCCACAAATATGAGAAGAAAAACACTGAGAACAGTGGAGACTAAAAGTCTTTAGTAAAATTCTCCAAAACTGGTTGTCTTCAGCATTTTTAGCAAATGACATAGTTTTGTTGGAGTTGTGTCACTTTTTGCTTAGTATAACTTATTCACAAAAATGTACTTACTTAGAAGAAGTCCAGTATACATGGGGTCTAAATGCATGGGAGCTTAAAAACATCCACCATAGGTGTGTGGACATGCAAAAGTATTATACATACAGTGTGTGTGTGTGTGTGTGTGTGTGTGTGTGTGTGTGTGTGTGTGTGTGTGCATGCTTACATTTGTAAGAACAGGCTTGTGTGTGCCACAATATATGTGTGGAGGCCAGGATAACAGTGGATGTTAGGCCACGCTTTTTAATGATGTTGATTGAGATAGGGTTTCTGCTGTTTTTCTACTGTGTACTCCAGGCTAGCTAGCCTAGAAACATGCAGGGATTCTTCTGTTTCTGCATCACATCTTCCCATAGTGCTGTTGGGATTACAAACCCTTGTGCAGTATGTTTTGATTTTTACAAAGTTTCTGGGGGTTTGAACTCAGGTCCTCATGTTGGCTTTTACCTCCTGAGCCATTTTCCAGTCCCCTCAAAATCTCTTATATTTCCAGACCAGTGACCACAACCATGACTTTGGTAAATATACTCCATTCAACCACATCCATAAAATGCTAGTCACAGGAGGGACCAAAGACAGTGAAATGGGCCAGGAGAAATAAACTCAGCTCTCAGGAAAGATGCCAAGGACTATACTTTAAGCTCTAAATGGAGAGGCACAGATAATCCCTAGAGGGAAAGAAAGAGTGTGTAGGGATGGAGACCTATTACTTACTTCTCTTCTAGTTAGCTATCTTCTTTGAAACTTAATCAGCAAAATTAACAGAACTATCTTTCCATTTGGAAGAGATATCTCTTTTGGCACTGAATGAACTCTCCTGGAATGTTTCAGAATCATCCATTAGCATCGATCTTTTTAAAGTTTGGAGTGATTTCTGTAAAATCCAAGATAATGGTCCTCTTTAGGGAGGCAGAAGAGAAGGGAGTTCTAGCCAAGTTCTAGTTGGTGGAGGTCACAAGGGTGCTGTACATGAATTCATTAAACTATCAGATTGTTCTGTGTGGGTTTCTGTTAAATTTATAAGAATACGGATATTTGAAAAGAGATACTGCAAATGTCTGTGTTATCTCTTAGGCTTGTTTGCTAAGGGAGGATCTGGGTAAATGGTGATGGAGGGCCAGGACAACTAGGAGCCAGGGGGCACTAGGCAAAACTAGAAGAGATGACCTTGGAAAGCCTGGGATGGTCTGGGAGCCTGTTTGACTGTAACCCTAGGAATCTGGCTGAATGCAGCTAGCTTGTGTTTGCTGGGAGCCACAGGGCAGAGGAAAATGAGATGGCAAGAGAGGAGGAAAGGCAGGCAGGGAAGGTGGGTTTGCCTTTCAGCTGCAGTGTGAAACTTAAAAAGCCTCTCCTCTCAAGAAATGAATGGATGGAGAGTCCCACCCTCCCACAGGACACTGGTTTCATTATCTCAGAAGAGCTTTTCTTTTCAGAGATTGGGAGTCAGAATGCATTTTCAATGAGACACTCTAATCTCTGGGAGTGGGGTAAGGGGCGTGGGAAAGGTAGCTGGTGGGAAGGATTGATGGCCTGGGATGCTGTGGAAATTTGTCATCTTGCTCACCATGTTTAGTTTCATGATGGAATTCAAGTCATCTACACACACACACACACACACACACACACACACACACACACACACACAAATGATTTCCCCCCACTCCCATGAGTTTTTTTTTTTTTTTGCATTTATAAAGTGTATAAAAGAAACAAATCCATAGAGAGAGAAGGTAGACTTGTAGCTGCTGAGGGCAACAGGGACTGGCTGTTAGGGTTTTTCCCCTTTAGTATGCTTTAAATTTTATTTGTTAAAATAGTGTGTGTGTACATGTATATGCTTGCATATGTGTGTGTGTATGTGTGTATGCCTGTATGTGCATGTATGCATATGTATATGTGCCTGTGTGTGTGTGCATGTGCATGTGCCCTTGCAAGCTCCAGCACACATAAGAAGGTCAGAGGACAACATCCAGAAGTCGATTCTTTCCTTCTGCCTTGTTGAGCCCTGATCTCTCTTGTTACTTCTGTTGCTACACTGTCTACACCATGAGCTTCCTGCCAATTCTTCTGTCTCCATCTCTCATCTTGAAGTAAGAGTGCTGGGAATCACATGTGGGAAGTAAGATTTTTGTGGGTTCCAGGCATCAAACTCAGGTGTCATTAGGCTTGCATGGCAAGTACTCATCCACTGGGCCACCTTGCATGCTCAATGGTAGGGCTTTCTTTTGGGGTGATGAACTTGTTCTAGGACTTGATTGTGGTCTTGGTTGCTGAATATTATGAAGGTAGCAGGTCACTGATTTGTCTACTTTTGAATGGTTAAAATGGTGAATTTTCTGTTACATACATTTTACCATAATTTTAAAAAGGAAGTGCCCAAAGATGTTCTAGTTTATGACGATGTTAAAGACCTTTATTTTTTGAGTCAGAATCTCATGTGTCCCCAACTTTACTTTAAACTGGCTTTATAACTCAGTTGCCTTTGAGCTAATTTCTTATCTTCCTACCTCCACCTGAATGCTGTGATTACAGGAATGTACTACTATGCCATGTTTATGTGGTGCTGGGGATCAAATCCAGGGATTTGTACATGCTGGGCAAACACTCTACCAACTGGGCCATATTCTCAACCCTAGATATATTTTGTTCTATTTTTTGAGAAATGTTTCACTATGTAGTCCTGCCTGGCCTGGAACTCACTGTATAGATGAGACTGGCCTCAAACTCACAGAGATCTGCTTGCCTCTGCCTCTTGGATGCTGGGGTTAAAAGTGTGCACAACCACACCAGGATAACCCTAGATATGTTTTTTAAAAGTTGTCCAAGTAAGTCCTTCCCCATGCATATAATACCAAAAGGCAATTCTTTAGCATTGAGTGGCTGTTGAAACTTACTTGAACATGTGGCGTCTGGTAGAAGCATGTGGCCACTGAGGCAAAAGCATTTATAGCTGCCGTGTGTATTCACACACCTGTGCTGACATGGCCGGGGTTTGGTTCCACACTCATTCACATCTGCAGAGCCAGTCAGAAAAGGGAGATAAGTTAACAAAGTTAGAAAACATCCATGCATGGGAGACTAGATGCTAATTTTCAGGAGGACAAAGACTCACCACTTATGTCCTTTCAAACTGTCAAATGTCTTTCCACTTGGAAAGATTGGTGAAGATGTGGAACAATTCACCATTGGAGGGAATGGAAATTACTACAGGCAGTTTGGAAAACTAAAGTTAGAAATAGACCTACCTATGATCTAACAGTTCCAGTGTATTCCTAATAGAAATATCGATTGCCCTTTCACACCACAACACAATCATACACTAAAAAGATCATAATAGAATGTATATTACTTGGAGAGATTCAAATACACCCCAACAGGATAGGTATATATAAGCATGCTGTACAGCAGTTAAACAGAGGAAACTACAAGTATAGGAAACAAAAGATATTGAGTAGAATAAGCTGGGTACACCCATTGCATATACACTCTGATAGAAGTGAAGTCAAGACATGCCTTTCTCTCCCATCTATCTATCTATCTATCTATCTATCTCTCTCTCTCTCTCTCTCTCTCTCTCTCTATCTATCTCTCTATCTATCTCTCTATCATCTATCTATTATCTATCTATTATCTGTCTATCATCCATTGTCAGTCTGTATGTCCATCTGCCTGCCCATCCATCCATCCATCCATCCATCCATCTAACCATCCATCCAACTTATCAATCTATCCATCCTTATATTGTAGCCCAGGCTAGCATGGAACTTAAGGCAGCCCTCCTGTTTCATCCTCTCCAGTGCTAAAGATCACAGGCTTAAGCCACCTACCATCCATGGCTGTACTTTTCTTGTTGAGTGAATATATGATCTGATGGGTGGGAGGCAGGAACTGTTGAGTTTCTTTTTCTTTTTCTTTTTGGTTTTTGTTTTTGTTTTATTTTTTGCTTGGTTGTTAAAATCTGGGTTCCAATTAGCAAAGTATTATGGCAATTTATCAAGTTGTATATTTTTAAGAAAACATTTCACCTATTATTATTAGTGTATGCCTGTGTGTGTGATATGTATGTAAGAGTGTGGGCACATGGATGCCATGGTATATGTGTGGAGGTCAAAGAACAACTATCGAGTGTCAGTTTTCTCCTTCTGATTTGGGTCCCAGGGATCAAACTCTGGTTATCAGGCTTATACAGCAAGTGCTCTTACCTGCTGAGCCATCTCACTGGCCCAAGTTATACATTTCTAATATTATATGCACACTTCTAAATGATGCCACTGAAATAAAGAGTTAGAAACATAACATGTGAGCATTTCTGTCTTTACTACTTCCTAAACAGCTTATGACAGCATTGTTGTGATTGTGGGTGGCTCCAGACCTATTGCTATAGCTCATACCACTCTAGAGAGAACTCTGTCAGGCAGTTGGTAGTGAGGTTGCAGCAAATTTAATTGCACATGAAGGTGTACTCAGTGTGTTTACAAAGTTAGGTATACAGATTCACAACAAAACATAAATGTGTGTGGAACAAAAGTCTGGGTTGAACAGCTCTCAAGGCTAGCCATGGTTGTGGTTAAGTGGTATATTCAAGAGTGTATTTTGTTAAAAAAAGTTAAACATTAAGAATAAGTAACATTTCTTTTAAAATAAGAAAATGATAAAGGAAGTGGGCTAGGGTTGCATCTCAGTTATAATTGTGCTCACCTAGCATGCGCAAAGCCCTGAGTTCAATACCTAGTGCCACAGATTCCAGGCATGGTGGTGCATGTTGTAATTTCAGCACTCAGGAGGAGGCATATATAGGGTGGAAATCAGGAGTTCAAGGTCATCCTCAGCCTGGGATACACGAAACCCTGTCTCAAAAAGGAAAAATGGTACAGGAGAAAAAAATTGTTAAAGGATATTGTGACAAAAGGATCCTCCTTGTCTTTGGAAATCTGATTGTGGAGGAGGACTCATAGCATAATTTCCCAAGGAAGATATAGAAAGGAGAAAAGCACCAAAGTCCCCAGAAGAGAAGACAATTCTGAAAGATAGCAAGTAGATTGTGCCTCTGGAGAGTTCTGCAGATGCAGGTTTCTAATACCCGGAGCTTTCATCCCCATGCTTGTCCCCTTGACCCCACCTTGCATACTCCAACCACCTTATTGTTTTTGAATTTTTATTAGTTTATTATATTTTACACAAGTGTGTGTGTGTGTGTGTGTGTGTGTGTGTGTGTGTGTGTGTTCTCACTGGCCCCAACACCACTCTCTTTTAAGAGAGTAATTGAAATATGTTGACTGGACATAATGGAAAACCCAGTGTATCCATCTCTTGGCTTTAAGCCAGCAGTGACTCACTCATGTCTTAGAAAGAGGATTTTTGGGAAACACATTACTTGAGGCCTGAGGCCTGTTGCCACAACTGGTCTTTGATCAGGCTGCCATGGAATAGGGAGGCTGTAGAGGGAAGAGAGACAACCTCAAAACTTGATCCAACTGTTAACATTTAACTGGAACTTGAGAAATAACATGAGAAATAATAGGACTTCTAGTCCAAAGGGTTACAGAGAGGATCTACAGAAAAACAAGCACTTGGTATGAAAGATCTAATAAGAGATCTCACTGATGAACCTGTGATTCTCAGGTTTGCTGTGTGTGCATATTGGTGAGGGATTGGTTTCATGAGTATGACTGAGGATGCCCAGGTTTTTGGAGGCAGGGAGAGAAAGCTCAGCTGTTATGCTAGACTGCTCCCAGATTACAGTTCTTTCTTGCTAGGCCCAGCTCTTTTTGTATGTGGGTGCTTGGATCTGAACTCTTAATTGCTGAGCCATCTCTCTGACCTCTGGAAGGTTCTTCTGATAGTGATTAAATGTGATTTGCTGGTTGTACTCAACCTTATCTTAGGGCTAGGGGAACTTTCTGGTGGCTTTCTTTCTGAAATGGTTGTTGAACCTCTCTTTACATTTGAGTCCAGATCATTCCTTTATTTTGGAGCTGGTCTGTATTGTCAGGTATTTATAGAACGGATGGAATTTATTCAGTAGATACCAGTAGCAACACCTTCCCTAGCTGTGACAGCTCAAAATGTGTCCAGAAATTGCCAGATGTCCCCTGAATGGCAAAACTACTCTAGTTGAAACTTCTAGTATATAGCCAAGACCAAGGGGAACCCTTTCCCCATCAAAGTGCTTTTGTTTATGTGTCTGTTAATTTTGAGACAGGAACTCTTGTATCCAAGGAACCTGCTGTGTAGCCAAGGATGAATCTTTAATTCAACCACTTTTACTGTCCAAGTACTAGGATTGCAGGACTTTGCCATCACACCCTGTCCATTCCATATCCAGCATCAAACCCAGGGTGTCGTGCATGCTAGGCAAATACTTCAACAAATAAGCTCTAGCTCCAGCATTCAGGGGTGGTGTTTGTTTACTATAATTTCCATAGTCTCTCAGCATCAACATGTATTGCCATTTGGACCAAGCTAGTTTTATTGGTACAGGGCACTTCTGGTCAGTGTAGTGTGTTGTGGTGGTTTGAATAAGAATGACCCCCAATAGGCTTGCATATTTGAATAATTGGTCATTAGGAAATGGCACTATTAAGAAATGTGTCCTTGTTGACGTGGGCATTGCCTTGTTGGAGGAAGTATATCTCTGGGAGTGGGCTTTGAGATTTCAAATGCTCAAGTCAGATCCATTGGCACTCACTCTTCCTTGTGTCCTTGTTGACGTGGGCATTGCCTTGTTGGAGGAAGTATATCTCTGGGAGTGGGCTTTGAGATTTCAAATGCTCAAGTCAGATCCATTGGCACTCACTCTTCCTTCTGCCTGCAGATCCAGTTGCAAAACTCTGAGCTACTTCTCCAGCACCATGTCTACTTACATGCCACCATGCTTCCTACCATGGTAATAATGGACTAAACCTCTTAAACAATAAGTCAGCCCTAATTAAATGGTTTATAAGAGCTGCAATGGTCATGGTGTATCTTCACAGCAATAGAAACCCTAACTAATGCAGATGTTTAACCAGTATGTGCCAACAGCACCTCCTCCAAATGTCTTTCAAAAATTCCAGATGTTCTTTGGCAATGATTCCTGAGTTTGGCAACTAAAAATACAGGATTCTCAATTACGTTTGAATTTTAGCTAAGCATTTAGTATGTTTTTTTTTATCATGCATACATCCCATACAATATTACTATATAAGCATACTATACAGTTATCATTTATCTGAAAGGTAAATGCAAATGAACATTATATATTATCTTACAACTTTCTTTGGAGGACAGAGTTTTTTCCTAGACTTTTCTTGTTCATTTGAGATAGGGTCTCAGATAGTTTAGGCTGGCCATGAGCACATAATGGAGGCTTGCCTGAACTCCTGAACTTCCTGCCCCTATACTGTTATGTGCTGGAATTATAGTCATGTGGCACCATACATGGCCAATGTTCTAGATATTAAATAAATTCTTAATTGTCATCAGATAAAATAGCCTAAGACAAATATTATAAATTATCTTTTGAAATATATCTGTTGCTGGTCTGCAGGTGTAGCCCAGTAAGAGTGTTTGCCTGGTGTACACAAAGTCTTGGATTCCATCTCTGGCTCCATATACACTGGGTGTGTTAGCCCACACATATAATCCAAACACCTGGGAGGTGGTAGCAGTAGGACCATAAGTTCAAGGTCCATCTTCAGCTACATAGCAAGTTTAGGATATATGACACTGTTTCAAAGCAAAACAGGTCAGTGTGGTGTCACATACCTTTAATCCCAGCATCCAGGAGGCAGAAGCAGGCAGATCTTTGTGTGTTAAAAGCCATCCTGTTTTACATAAAAACGAGATCTAGGCTAGCTAGAGGTATATAGTAAGACCTGTCTCAAAAACAAAAACAAAATCTCTCAGAAATGTATATGTTGGGGCAAAAATATGCACACTATCCAACAATTCCATTTTTAGATATTTATTTCACAAAAAAATAATCACTCCAGACTGAATGGTCATAAATGGATATGAGTAGAATGGTTGATTTAGCATTGTTTGCAGTGGCAAGGGATTGGAGATGATGTAAATGGTGATGGTAAGGATGCATTTGCTTCACAAATGATAAATATCTTCATACTAGGGACTGGGATATGGCCTTAAGAAGTTAGATCACTGTACATACTAACAGATAAGGATGCCCAGGAGAAATACTGATGCTTGTATGGTCTTGGAGAAGGCCTTTGAAGATCTAGAGCAAACTGTTAAATATGGTTCTAATAAGGGTTTGGGATAGAGCCTCTCCTTGTCCCCTGACCCAACAGGGTCTTATGCATCCCAGGCTGGTCTAGAAATGGATATGTAGCCAAAGATGACCTTAAACTTTTCTGATCCTCCTGTCTCCACCTCTCAGGTGCTAGGGTTACAGGTATGCACCACCATGCCTGGTTTGTGCAGTGCTGGGGACTGAACCCAAGGCTTCGTGTATGCTGGGTAAATACTCTACCAACTGAGTTACATCACTGGCCCGTCCTTTTTTGTTTTTATAATTTTATGTAGTGTTGTTGCTTTTTAAATAAAATGTATATTACTTAGATAATCTTAAAAACAAGAGTTATTTTGACCAAGGTCTTTTGTTGCATAATTTGGAAAAATATCAGAAGTTTCCCACTTAATCAAGGGGAGACTGACTGAAAACTCTTATCCTGAAACCATGTTACATTCAAGATTTGATTACCACCCTGTAAGAAATCCTTGGTGCTGTCTTTCCTCCCTGTCTCCATTGTAATGGAGTTTATCCCAGGATCCTGGTGGGGTACTGACCTTGACTGCAGGTCTTCCCGGTGTACCCTGGAAAGCATCTACATTTATTTGGTCCCACACATTCACCAAATTTGCATCTGGGCTCACACGTAGCTGTAAAAGGAAGAGATCCTGATGATACAGTTGACAAAGTGATACTGTGCCCAGGTAGGTTGCCTTCTACACAATAGAGAACTCTTTGGGAATCTACTGAGAATCTGTCTCCTCTTGATTCTGCTTTGACCTTTCTAACACTGAGTAGGGATTGCCTTTTGAACAAAACCAGCCCTTACACCCACCATGCAATGAACAACAATATATTGTACTCATTTGCTTAATGTGGCCTTGTCTCCAGTGCTACAAATCACCCCAGACCACACAGCCAACCAGTTGTGCATGCCAACCCAAAATATCAATCAATAAATAAGGAAGAATATTTAGAGAAAGACACATCAGAGTAAGTTGGGTAAGTTCCAAGGATGGAAATGGAAGTTTCCTCCATTTCTTTCTGTCATTGTCTTTTCTCATCTCTTAGTTCTCCATTTTTTTCTTTGTGTGTGTATACATGCATTTATGTTCAAATATATATGAATGTGAACACATATATATGTACTTTAATGTGAAATCCAAAGGACAACCTTTGATACTGTCCTCTAGTTGGCATCTACTTGTTTAAAAAAAAAAAACATTTATTTATTTGTATGGGAGGGTAGTGAATGCATGTGCCATAACATACATGGTCAGGAAGGGGGTGTCAGAGAACAACTTGCAGTCATTGGTTCTTTTCTTCTACCATGTGAGTCCTGAAGATCAAACTCAGGTTGTTAGAATTGGTGGCAAGGGTCTTTACCCAGTGAATCATCTTAGTGCCACCCAAATCTTGTTGACTGAGACAAAGTACCTCACTGGCCTTAAGGACCACCGACTCAGCTAGACTGACTATCTTTGAGTCCTAGAAATCCACCTGACTCTGCCTCTACAATGCCAAGTTTACAAGCATGTTCAACTATACCTGTCTTATTTATTTGTTTATTTATTTATTAGCACAGAATCTATGGATTGAACTTAGTTCCTCATGTCTTTTGTGACAAGAACTTTACTGATTGAGCTATGGTCCAAGAACTACTTATTTTTGACCTTTGGAACGATCAAGATCTTTTTTAGTGTTGTTTGTTATCATTAAATCTGAACAGCTTACTCTGATGGTCACTCCAAGTATGGTGATGATAGTGGAGAAGAACTAATAAAGGCAGGGCTTGTTTTGCTGTTACCGACACTAGCATTCTGCCCGATACATGGCATGAAGTTGGCATTCGATAAATCTTTCTTCAATGAGCAAAATAGTAGACTAAAACAAGAGAGCCAGAAGGTTGTAACTGAATTAGGGGCAAGGAAAAAGTGATCAAAGATTAAAGCAGGTTTGGATCAGGCTCATGAGAAGGAGATGAGCAAAATGAGTGTGAGAATTTCTATCTATTACTGTATCCTCAGTGTCTTTGGACATTTTATGTCATCTGTGAATATGCTACATATGAGAAAATAGATGCATCACATGCAAATATGCCACACACAACTATATCCTATTTATGCAAATATATTGCAGTACTGGGGTGGAATCCAGAGCCTTGTGCATGTTACTCAAATGGTCTACATTCCTAGTCTTTGTTTTTGTTTCTGTTTTGTTTTGAGACAGGGTCTCACTAAGCAGCCTAGACTGGCCTTGAACTCATGCTCCTTCTCCTTCTCTAGTGCTGGGATTAAAGATGTGTGCCACCATACCCAGAATACATATTTTCTTTTTTCCAAAAGTGAATAAAGCAACAGACATAGACATTGTAACAGGGAAACAGTCTAGTCCTGAACAAGTCCTAACTAAGAAGGCAAGGAGAGGGAAAAAAACTTTCCCAGCATTTTTTCCCACTTCCCGAGACTAAAGAGATGGAATTTAATTTTCAGTGTCGCCTTTGTTATGAACATGCACTTGGTGATGCAGCTTTAAGTTCAGATGTTAGAAAAATAAATCTTTGATGGTTTTTTAAGCCCCAAAGTCCTGTGATTGCTCCCTGGAAGCTGATTTCCAATGTGATTCAGACAGGAAAGCCCAGAATGAGTGCCAGACAGCACACAGGAGAAATGGTGAGTAATATCCTTGCTTTAAGGTCGACACTTCAGAAAGATGTTTTCAATTTACAGTGACTTTGGATCTGTGACCAGAGTAGCCCATCCAGAAAAGGGAAATTCAGTTTGTGTTGAAAATAGCCAGAAGCCGAGACACACTTTGCATGAAGTCAGACTTTCATGCTTAGTTCTCTCCCCAGACAACTCCAGCTGCAGTTTTTATCCAGGATTTGTCTTTGGCCAGCACTTCATTCCATGTCATTAGAGTGACATATATTTTGAGGTTAATGATGCAGACTCGATCAGACTCCACCACTGAGATAACATTTAGACAAGGGTACAGACCAAAGACTGGGGGTACATGGGCTCCAGTGTGCATGGGTGCAGGTCATTGAGAGAAACAAAAAAATGGACAATAGGATGGAAGAGAAGGAGTGTGTGGACTGGGACCAGTAGTCTGCTATTGCTTGTTGGGGCAGGTTGATGTGTGTTTTTCTTTCTGCACAGGCTGAACTCTGGTTTAGGAATAAGGAACCTAGGAAGAGGGGAGTAACTATCCTTGTTATTTTGTGCTTCTAGGAACATATGACCTTACCAAGCAAGAAGGAACATGCAGGAGCTAGGAATGTAGCTGTTGGTAGAGTGATTGCTTAGAATGCAGAGAGCCTTGAGTTTGGTCCCCAGCACTACCTAAACTGGGCATGGTAGTGAGTAATCCTCGCACTCAAGCAGAAGGATCAGGAGTTCAAGATCATCTACAGCTATGGCTAGAGTTTGAAGCCAGTCTGGGCTATGTGAAACTCTGAAAAATATTCAATAAAATATGATATATTTTTAGATCTAGAATTCATCCATTGCAAATTAAAACCCAAATATTCAACACAGGCAACAGAGCTGCTAACCATCTTTAGCTCACAACATCTGCATATTGAACATTTTTCTTAAACTTTCCCACTGGGCTTTTTAACCCTTTGTTTCACATTCCTTTGTGCTTGTGATATATAGTCCGTGAAATCTCTGAAGTTGTGATTGGCTGTGCCTACTGTGGCCAGACTTCTCTGATCCAGTTGAAGAATAGCAATTGCAGAAAGTCGAAATTTACTCTCATTTACTCACCAGTGGTATGCTGGGCCTGACCGAGTTTTATGGCAGTAAGTGTTGAGGTGCATGAGAGTGTAAGAAATTATAAGTCACATGTCTCAGGTGACTTTCACCTCTTTCCACATGACTGCCTTCAAAGAAGAATGTTTTCTGCTGTTTCTAAGTAAAGAACAAAGCTATGTTTAATGCTCCCATCACCTGGTGTTTTGAAGGACAAAAGTGTGACAAGAGCCATTGCATTTTTCTTCTTGTGTGACAAGCTATAAGTACATGCTGCAGTGTCTCTGTTCTGCACCTTCTAAGGGCTATTGCCCTTCCATGTTCCAGAGGATGAAATGGAGCCTTAGTTAACTTCACTACCTTCTCCAGTCTAGGGTACAATGTCTTTAACCAGAAAACATTTAATCAGGGTGAGGACTTGCTGCATGCTAAGCAATCATACTATCAACTGAGCTACATCTATCTGCCCTTTTAATTTACACGGGTCCCAGAGGGATGCTTTAACTGGATGGACCATTATGATCTTCATTTTTTTCCTTAGCATCTCAACATTCTGGTCATCCCATTATGAAGAAGCCCTGATGGCTGAAAGTTTTCAGTAACAGGGAATGTGTGGAAGCAGTATACATGTCTTCTGTTGTTTCATGGATTTCAGGTATTAGCAAGTTCTGCCCTCGTCTAGAGTCAATCTTGTATGTATTCTTTGACAATTATATACAATATAGTTTGATCATAGTTCATCCCCATTATGTCTCCCCCTTCCACTCCTTCTGAATTCCTTCTTCTTCCCAACAAGTCCTCCTCCTGCTTCTATGTCTTTTGCCTTTTTAGACCCTGTGGTGATTTGAATAACATGGCTCCCACAGGTTCATATATTTGAATGTTTGCTCATTAGGGAGTGACATTACTTGAGAAGGACTAGTAGGTGTGGCCTTTTTGAGAAAATGTGTCATTAGGGGTGAACTGTAAGGTTTCAAAAGCCCAAACCCATCCCAGTGTCTCTCATTCTGCTGCCTTTGGATCCACATGTAGAACTCTCAGTTCTTTCTCTGGTACCATGTCTGCTTGTATGTGGACATTTCTTACCATTATGACAATGGACTAAACCTCTGAAACTGTAAGCCAGACCCAATTAAATGCTTTCTTTCATAAAAGTTGCCTTGGTCATGGTGTTTCTTCACTGATATAGAACAGTGATTAAGACAAACACACCGAGTTTAATTAGTGTGTTTGCTTAGACATAGGTAGTTGTGGGAATATTAACTGGGGCAATGGGAACTTACCAGTGCCTACCCTACTGAAAATTAATGACTGCCACCACCCCAGCAGCTATTAATGTAGCTATTTGGGGGCAAGTTAGAATGCTGGGGGTTGGATCAGGGGTAGGCCTTTGAGGCGATAAAGTAGTTATTTCTAAAATAGCTAGCATTTTAATGCACTTATGAAACATTCAGGCATATTATTACCCCATTTAACAGACAAGGAATTCATGATCAGGCATTTGAGACTAGATTTCTACCCCAAGGTAATGAATTATATCCCAGACAATGTAGCCAACTGCCTTGGAGAAATTCAGATATGGTTCTCTATCATAAATGTGGGTCACTATGGAAATCCACATAAAACTCAATGCAAGGCAGAAGTCTATGTTTATCTCAGCTCTCAGAGAACCTCTGGAAATTATCAGAGGTCTCTCACATAAGCTCCTAACACAGAATCTGAGAAATAGTGTTTAAGAAAACTTATGTGTTCTTAGTGTGTACTCTGCACAAAAATAATACAAAAACAACACTTTTGCAAACATGCATGTATTTCTTGCCATTAGAAACTGCATTTGAGGAATTTAAAAATTGGAGTGGCACATCTATGAGGTATAAATGTTTCTGTTCTACTTTGTAGCCAGAGACTACTTGGCTACTAGCCTACAATTAATTAAAATGTGTATTTCATTAGAAATCAGTTGGAAAAACTATAATTAGAAGGATTTCACTGGTCTGGTTTTGACTATCTCGGTTTCTACAGATTTAATCAAATCAAAGCCAAACAAACCCCAGTTTTACTTATTTAGACAGAAACAGAAATAATAATGGACAAGAGAGTCTCCCGAAATAATGCCCATCTAGCATGATAGTGTCCGCCATTCTAGATAGGAGTTTGGGTGTTGGTAGTTACCCATGTCCTTACTCCAGATAATCCATTGGTAATGGTGTCACAGATAGAAAACTCACTCAATCACAGTGCAGTTTGAATTTTGACAAAAATTACCTTCACATACTCCTTTGCTGTTCCTTTTCCAGCCATAGCAGCAGGCCATCTTAGTTCCATAACGACACACCCCAGGCTGGCGTGCCAATGCTGGCAACCCATAATCCTTTGAACTGTGAATGAAGAACCACATATTTAATATGGAGAAAACAGAGATGGCCACAGAAGCAACAGGAAAGATGTGAAGTGTCTGGGTGATTTCTGCAGACCTGAGGGAAGTGCCAGGTTCCACAGGGGTGAGGGGCAGAGATTTGAGTTTGGGAGTTGGCAGCCTCTGCCTTTTATCCCTGACAAGCTTTCTTCTAGTACTGTTCATTTCCTTTTTGCTTAGGGTTAAAGACACTGATTACAGGTAGAGTGTATGAAAGTGACCAAAATATGGGACATTTTTGAAACTAGTAGAATGCCACTTCTCCAATCTGTTTTGAATGGGTATGGTGGCTTTCCAGTGTTGGCTTTGTGTCAGTGACTCAGTGGCTAAATGGCTTTGGCTTAAACAAGAACTCTGCATTTTTACTTCATGGGCCACCTGGAAGTCATTGAACAGCCTGGAATCACCACACAGTATGGACAGTAAAGAGTGGGGGATTTTCTGCTCAGTCATCTCAGGTTACAGAGGAGGGAATTACAACAGCACACAGTGGGGGCAAGTTCTCAAGCAGAGCCAGGTGCTGTGGATTTAAGCCTGCTGTGCTTCAAATCAGCCTCTTGAAAACTCTTAACTATTGGGCAACAATCAGCAAACATTTTCTCAAAGGGACTCGAGGTAAATATTTCAGGCTTTGCTGGCCATAGGTTTCTGTCTATATGCAAAAGCAGCCATGGGCAATTGCAAACAGATGGTTGTGATTGTTCCAACAATACTTTATTTCTGGAGTTGGAAAACTAGCTGGCTAAGTTAGCAAAGTTTTTCATGTATCCAAGGCTGGCCTCGAACTTGCCATGTAACCGAGGTTGACCTTGAATTTCTGATCTTCCTGCTTCCTCCTTCCTAGTACTGAGATTACAGATTTGCACTACCATTTCTGGTTTTGGTGTATGTGTTGTTGAGTATCAAACTCTGGGCTTCCTGGGTATCTAGTGAGCACTATTTCAACTGAACTATATCCACATCCCTAAACACAGTATCCTTGTATCCCATTATCAACCATATAGAAATGTTAAAACTGGTTTTGGCTCATATGTTGTATAAAAATGGATGGGGCCACCTTGTTTTGTGGGTTGTAGTTTGCTGACCTCTGATCTGAAAAGTGAGTCCCTGCCTCCCAGGAAAAGCCCTAAGTGACACTCCCACACACTCCCAGAGAGGAAGCTTCTTGCCTGTTTACCTGCTTGATGTCTTGGGGTTGGACAGGACTGCTACCAGACTAGAAGAAAAGCCATACAATTAATGGAGGGCTGCATTTTATATTCCTTGTGCATATGAAATACAATGTCAAAGCATTTCTTGAGCTCTTTATCAGATAAGCAATGTACATTTTACCAGGTACAGGATTGAATATATGCTTGCTCAATTCTCTCATGATCTACCTTTCCTACAAACTTCATTTTATAGAGATAAAAAGGTGGGGTTTGGGCCAGGCCATGGTGGTGCACACACCTTTAATCCCAGCACTCAGGAGGCAGAGACAGGCAGATCTCTGTGAGTTTGAAGCCAGCCTGGTGTACAAAGTGAGTTCCAGGACAGCCAGGGCTGTGGACAGAGAAACCGTGTTTCAAAAAACAAAATAAAACAAAACAACAACAACAACCAAACCAAAATAACAACAAAGGCAGAGTTTGAGATATCTCATTCACCAAAAGCACAGAATTTGAGAGAAAATAAAGTTCTGCAGGAGAACTTTTTTCCATTTAAAAAAAATTATTTTTTAGTTTATGTGCATTGGTGATTTGGGTGCATATATTTCTGTGTGAGGGTGTTGAATACCCTAGAACTTGTTGGAGTTGTAGACACTTAATGAGCTTCCATGTGGGTGCTGGGAATTGAATCTGGGTCCTGTGGAAAGGCAGCCAGTGTTCTTAACTGCTGAGCCATCTCTCCAGCTCCTTCCTTACCTTTTCATTTTTAATAGAAGCTCATATGCTGTTCATTCAACTGCTTACAGTGGGGTTTCTCAACCTCTATATGATTGTTATTTAGGCTGAATGATTCTTTGTTTTTTAGGAGGGTCTTGGGCACTCTAAGATATTTAGTAGCATCCATGGTTTCTGTCTGTAGTTGTCAATAGCATGTATCCCCCAACTTGTGACAAAGCATGCCCAGCTTAGGTGAGTGTGGTGCTGCATACCTATAATCCTAGCAATCCTATAACACCATAATCCTCTGGAGTGAGAGATAGGACAAATACAGTCCAGAAAGAAATATACAGCAAGTTCCAAGCTGGCTAGGGTCATATAGTAAAGACACTGTCTTCAAAACTAAAGTGACATTTGCCAAAAATCCCCTATAAGACAAAATTGTCTTCTATTAAATACCATTACTTTAAAAAGAAACTTTCGTTGAGCTTTTTCTGTGTTCCAAGCTCTAACTTGGCCACAAGGATGGAGCAGAGGACAAGAAAGAGCCAGCCTTTGATTTTTAGTTCATAATCCATGGCAAACAGATGCACAAGAGTGTAGACCAGCCTTGTAGCTAGCATTAAAATGTTTTGAGAATGGGCTGTTTTCAGTGCTCTGTACTGAACACATGTCTGGTTACTGCATGCTAGTTACTGCATCCCCAGGCCTGAGAAAGAGCTTTGACTGAGAAATATTGCAGCTATGTGTTACAATCAAATCTATATCTTCCTAACAATTCTGCAAGGGTAGTGTACCTTTCTCTTGACCCACAACATAATAATGATCAAGGAAGACACTGTAGGCCACTGAACATAAATTGTATGGCATGAAAAAAAAACTGTTATTTCATACATGATGTCCTGAAACAGTTTTGATTTTAACATAAAAATTGAGATATAACTAAAACAAATACAAACTTGACATTTTAATATACATGCTTCCAGTCTGTGGGTTTTGGTATTCTCATTATATTATGAACATATTGCCTAGTAATTAATTCCAAGATGTTTCCATCATCCAGGAAAAAAGGAACAGTTATTCCTAACTCCTCTTCTACATGCCAGTGTAATGTTCTTGTAACCACACACCTACCTTTAATCTATGCATTTGCCTTTTCTGAATATTTCATATAACCAGAACATGTAATACATAGTTTTGCGTGTCTAGCTTCTTTAATCACGTTGTAGCACATAATAACCCTTTACTTCTTTTTTGTTGCAGAGTGGTACTTCATTGTAGTTTTGTTGTTTACTCACTCATCAATTGATGGACATTTGAGATATTTTTCACCTTTAGCTATTATGAATAATGTTGCTATGAGCATTGGTATACAAATTTCACATTTCTTGATTATATAGCTAGGAGAGGAATTGCTGCAATATTGAATATATTGATACTGAATATATTGAAATCCCCAGTCTAATATGGAATCATTTGGAGGTGGGCCCTATGGGAGGCAATTAGATATTAGATAACAAGAATGGAGTCCTCATAAATTGTGTTAGTGCCCTTATAAGAAGAGACAAGAGAAGCAGCTCACTAGAGAAGTCCACAACTGGAAGAGAACCCTCGCCTGAATGCAACTTTGCTATCACCTTGATCTTGGATTGATAGTTTCCTGAACTAAGACTTAGGATGGACAGAAGTCAGCCACATGCAGTAAGAGAAGGAAGATGATGGGTAGTGGGAACAAAGCAAGTGCAGACTGAGAGCTAAGAGGACTGTGTGTGTGCTTTCAGAACCCAGAAGATTAGCCCAAACAGAGAGAAAGGGGAGTGGGCTCGTGTAGGAAGAACATTAATGGTAGGCAAGAATCTTGTAGTCTGGTTATGGCTTTGAGGTTTTATGTCCTAATGGCAATAGCACAGCAGTGAAAGCAACTAAGAGGGTTATTTGACAAAATTTTCTATTAGCCAGGTAAGGTAATGCATGCCTCTGATTCCGGCACTTTTGGGCTACCAGCTGGGTCACAAATCATGACACGAAGACTTCTTATTTGTTATGAATGCTCAGCATTAGCTTATGCTTGTTCAAATAGCTTTATAAATTAATTTAACCTGTTTCGCTTCATCTATGTTTTGCCTTGGGGCTTTTTTTTTTTTTTAATCTTTCATTCTGTATGTCTTACTTTTTTGCTTCTATGTTTGGCTGTCTGGCAGCTGCCTGACTGGCTGACCCCTGGCATCTACCCCTCTTTCTACCCCATTCTCTCTTCTCTCTCTCTCACTTAGATTCTTCCTCCTACTTATTATTTCTGCTTGCCAGCCCCACCTATCCCTCTACTGCCTAGCTTTTGGATGTTCTGCTTCTTATTAGACCACTTAGGTGCTTTAGGCAGACAAAGCAACACATATGTTGAACAAATGCAACATAAATAAATGTAACACATCTTTACATAGTTAAAGTAATAGTTCACAGCAGGTCATAGAGGTAGGGGGATCAGGAGTTAAGACTATCCTTAGATACATAGTGGATTCAACGTCAACCTGAGTGTCCCGGCTAGTTTTATGTCAATTTGACACAAACTAGGATCATCTGAAAGGAGGGAACCTAAATTGAGAAAATGCCTCTATAAGGTCTGGCTGTAGGACATTTTCTTATTAGTGATTGATGGAGGAGGGCCAGTCTATGGTGAGTGGTGCCAGCCCTGGGCTAGTGGTCCTGGATTCTATAAGAAAATAGGCTGGGAAAATCATGAGAAGCAAGCCAGTCAGCAGAGTCACTCCATGACCTCTGCATCAGCTCCTGCCTCCAGGATCCTGCCCTGCTTGCGTTTCTGTCCTGACTTCTTTCAATTATGTAAAGTGATGTGGAAGTGTAAGCCACATTAAACCCTTTCCTCCCCAACTTGATTTATGGTCATGGTGTTTCATCATAGCAATAGTAACCGTAATGAAGACACTGGGATATATGAGACATGTTCTCTTCTTCTTATCCTCATCCTTCATTATTATTATTATTGTTATTATTGTTATTATTATTGTTATTATTATTTGTTTTTTTGAGACAGGGTTTCTCTGTAGCTTTGGAGCCTGTCCTGGAACTTGCTCTG